GCACCTGCTGTGGAGGTACTCACCTGGAGCTCCCTGCTGGCCGCCTGTCCTCGGGGGGCTGCACGGGAGCCTCCTCCTTCTTGGCTGAAAAGAGAGTGTGTGGGTGAGGGTGGCGAGAGGCTGGGGCTGGAGGGCAGGGGACAGACCCTGCATATGGAGGGGGCGGGATGGACACACAAGCACCCCGGGCACAGCAAGGGAGAGGTTTCACAGTGCCCCAACCCAGCTCCTTGCAGAGAGCTGCTGCAAGTCTCCTTTCTTTCCCAGGCTCTTCACCACCCCCTTGGCTGCCCCAGGAACCCCCGGCCGCTTTCACAGGCCAGGAAAGAGATGGGGGCAGAGACACCCCCAAGGACAAGGCACTCAGGCAGGGTAACACCAGCCCACGCGCAGCAGCGTCCCAGCCCCCTCGCTCCCACCCCACCACAGGGACCATGGGCAGCCCGGGGAGGCTGGCGTGGCACGGAGGGAGCCCCGCAGGGGACAGCACAACACGCCACAACCGCACCTTCAGACTTCTCGAACTGCTCCAGCAGGCTGGACAGGTCGGTGGCTTCGATTCCTGGGCCAGGGAGAGAGCACGGCAAGTCAGGTCAGCCAAAACCCTCCCGGCACCACGGGGATGCACCCCGGCCCCATCCTCCCCCTGCAGCAGCCTCCTCAGGTGACAGGGCGAGCGCTGGGGAGGAGAAGCAGCAGCAGAGCCTGCAGCAGCTCCAAGTCTCCCACAGCGGCAACAGGAGCGCCCAGCTCTGCAGCCCCAGGAGGGACCAGTTTGGGCACAGCAAGCCCAGACCATCCACTGGAGGCAATGTCCTGACAGGGTGCTGGAAAGAGACTGCAAGCCCGCAGGCGCAGCTTTGCCGCCCTCACCCCGAGAAGTGCCAGGAACCGGTCCCGCTACCTGGGCTGCCGTCAGCACCACAGCCTCACCGGCTGGCGACGCTCAGCCCAGCGCCCCGCAGCCCTCCTGCTCACCGATCTCGCTGATGAAGGCTTGCACGATGTCCTTGCTGCTGTCACTGGGCTGCGCCAGGCTGAGGAGCGGCTGGTGCCTCCATGGCCGCACGGCAGGTGCCTTGGTGGGCAGGCTGCTCTCTCGACCCGTGGTGGTGCGTGGTGCTGCAGCCTGGGAGGCGGATTTGTGGCCGGATGGCTCCTGCCCAGCAGCTGCCTTGGGGGCCGGCCGGGC